GGGCCAATGCCTGGGCCAAGTGGGACTGAGGGACCTGCCACAGGCTGAGCAAAGCCCCTCCGCAGGCTGGATTTGGTCTGCAGGCTATATTTTGCCCATCCCTGCTCTAGGCCAATGAGGGCCAACCTTTTTTGACAGGTGTGCCACTAATAAGTCCCACACCCTCCCCAAGTGAAGCTCCAATCCTGGTCCCCTGCCTGATCAGCTGCTCTGCTTTCTGGTCCTAGCCCTGTACTCCCTATGTAATTTGCTACTCTGTTTTCTTCTTTCCCTGTGCTCCCTGCCTTATTTGGTGTTTTGTTTTTTTTACTGTGCTGCCTTGATTCAAGCCTTTATTAATATTGCCTTTATTAATATTGCAAAATTTTAGCAGGCTTAACTAATCTGAGCTACTGGTGTTCAACTGGCCTAACTGATGTTAAGTTGCCTTAGGGTTTTAATTGCAGCCTCCCCCATAGCTGCAGCCATGAGCCATGTCTCATGGGTGTCAGTCTGCTGTAATCTTAGAGCTGCCTGGCTAAATAGGTCTCATCTGTCTAGGTATCAGTCCTGTGGGGTTTGTGCTGTTCGCTTTGGTTTCAGCTCAGGCCCCCTTATTCTGGCCTTGGATCCTCAGCAGCAGCTGCCCTGCTGGGGCTTTAAACCACAAACTTAAGTTCCATCTAGGTCCCCTGGCCCCACACGTCTCTTCTGTGTGGTAGGCTCTTGCCAAGCTAGCTTCTGCTTCTCTGGCCTCACAGGGATTAAACCCTCTTGGTCTCTCAGCCTCCCCAGCCCTCACAATGCCCATTCTCTTCTCTCTGGCTTCCTGGCCTCACTGTGCCCTCCCAGTGCTCGCTTCCCTATTGCTGTCCCTCTAGCTTTAGGATAGGACAAAACCTTTCCATGCTTTAAGGCACTTGCAGCACAGTCTCCTAGCCTCTGCTCAAAGAGGCTCCCAGTCTTCCAGTTGTTACTAACCTGACCACAAGGGAAAAAAAAGCACAGCTCAGCCAAGTACTCACAAAACAAGAGAATTCTACAAATGCAGATCATCCACATTCTAGGTCAGCTCAGAAATTGAAAGAGACTTTTTCACCCTTGTATGTCAGGGCTCACTTTACCTTGACTCCACACACTACAGCAGTCTGCCAAAGAATGCCTTATCCTTTCCTAGCCAGGGCTAGGATGATTCTATTAACCTGACAACCAGCCTCTTATACAAGTAAATCTCTCTCCTTTTAGCTAGCCAGTCCGATTGCTTGGCCTGAGCACAAGGATTTCTCATTAGTCCCTTCGGTCCTGCCAGCTGTGCTGGAGACTCTGCTTAGGTTCAGTTCACCTGTGGCAGGGCTGCTGCTGATCGCAGGTGCTCTGTCTTTCTTTCCCTTTTTGCTGTTTGCCTCCTAGGGGCTTCTCTCTGGTGGTATTCTTGTCCAGCTTCCCTACTGTACTTCCTTTTCCTGAATAATTACCCCCTCAGGCCATAAAAATACTACTTTTAAGGGCCTTTGCAAGTTTTGTTCTCCTAGTTACAGAGCAAGGGTTCCCTGTTACAAAACCCAATCCCTTCAAGATGTCCCAAGATGGAGACCAGAAATCACTAGTCACTTCTGAAAATCTTGGTCATAATACTTATTAAAATTAGCATTGACATGTAAGTTTAGTAAGTGTTGCAAAGCATAAATTTTGAGACTGAATATTTATGCATGTTATGTGGTTATTAAGATACATAGATCAAGCTATTTCATCTTTTATTATCATAAGAGAGTCCTAGAATACTGTCCTTTTTATACTTCGTTTACCTGGTCTTTTCTGTTTGGCACTGTCATACTTTGTACATCTGACTTTGCCAGAACTTCAAGTTATGGTATTTCTTTGGAGACAGTGTGTAGCTTCTCATTCAGATTTGTTAGCACTGAAAACTAGTATGTACAGCTAGCAGAAACTGTGATTGACGTAGTCATGTTGTACTTCTGTAATAATATTGGCAAAACAAATCAGCTCTAAAATAATGTATTAATAAATTATTCTTTTCTTGCTTCTCTTTTCTAAAGACAGTTATTTAAATACACACATATTGAGAAAAATAATATTGTTTTTTCTTTAAGGGAGACACACCACTTGACCTTGCTCATCAGACTCAGAATCACTTAATTATCCATGTGCTAACTCAAGAAGAAAAAATGAGAACCAAAACAAAGTCCAGATTACTCAGGACATTAGAAAAATATGAGGTATAGTCATATGGAACTGATTCGTGATATACAGATAACAGCAGATATTTTTTAATAGATGCGTCTGATGCTGGGCATATGTTAGGCACTGAGGCCTAAGTTTTTAATGATAAGTGCTTGTTGAGTGGGCCTTAGCAGTCTAGGCATTCAGCAAGAGTCCTTGAAGGAGTCAGAATTTCCTATTCCCTGGGTGTGTCTACATGTTCATTAATGTGCTTTTCCTAATGCATATTAAGTTTAGTACCTCCAATGTGAGGTACTAAATAAATTCGCATTAGGTTGCCCTAATGTGCAGTACCGAAAGTGCACATTTTTAAAGTGACACTTAATGTGAAGTAGGCTATTTTCCTGCGCATTAGTGTGATTGCACAGTTTTTTATGTGATGCTATAATGCACAGTAAAATAGGCTGCTGCGCATTAACTCACACATGTAGACGTGCCCCCTGGGAGCATAAGGCTGCTTTTAAGGAGCCTTACTTAGTAGTGTTGGTCACTTCCTTGTCTGAATACTTGTATAATGGTTCTGCACTCTTATTTCTAATAAGACTTGTTCTCCAGGATTTGTTGTGCCAGTATGTAAATATTTTTCAGATAAACAGATTTACATAGCAGGTGAATGTTGGACTTCATGGTGTCAGGCTCTTAGGCTGCCTATACATATGTTTGGGGGTGGGGGCGGTTTTAATGAAAGCGGCTCCCAGACAGCTGCTCTGATTAACGTGTATTGAGGCCCTGTGCATTTCAAAACAGCCATGGGATGCGTTGTCTAAAGCTCATTCAACAAGGTTTGGATAAAGCACCCCCCTTGGCCATTTTAAAATGTGCAAGGGCTTAATACATGTGATGATGAGGCAACACTGGAGCATTCTAATTAGAATGCAGGGCAGACTCAATTAATAGTCTGCTCTGACATGTTTTAATTTGGAAGGCAAACAAGCACATCTATAAGCACCCTTATTTTTAGTGAGCTGCTGAACTAAAAGAAGTTAACTGCTTCTGTAGACTTAAATCACTACACACTGAAGAAAACTCAAATGATTTTGTACAGTCTTTATTCAGTTTCTGTAAAAATGGTTTTAAAAGTTTGTATTCACATTTCACTGAAATGAACAGTGTGGAGTTAAATTTTGTTGAAATTCTGTTATCTTTCTTCAAGGAAGATTTTTGGTCATTTTTCACTGATGTTATTGGTAAGGAGCTGGAGAGATCCTTTTTATTTGTTTTGTATGTAGCTGGTATTCATAAGAAAAATAGTAGAGTCACATTTCTGGTGATATACAGTTATTTTAAGAGAAACCACTAGAAGTAGTAACATATTTCAGCTGATAAACAGTTTACTTAAGAAGTTAAGTCATGTATTTCCTAATACTGTTCGTGATTATGTTTAAGAAAGAGATTGCTGTTAGAGAAAGAAACTTTGGTACAAAATGCAGTGCTATTTGCTTTGTCAAAATATGGTGGTTATCTCCTCAGAGAATTGTATTTCCACTTTGGCTCTCACAATAATTTGTTGAAATTATTTTTGTTGTTTTACATTGTTTGGCATTTTGTTTAATGCAGTATGTTATATACATTATCACTACAATAATCACCTTTGATAGGTATTCCTGATGTTGGTGTCTTGCTTGACATTGATGTGGGCTGTAGGATATATCCTGGACTTAAATTCTGATTCATGGCTTTTGAAAGGAAGTCTGCTTGTCATTCTGTTTTTGGCGATGACTCTGTTTGTAAGGTTTGTGCATTTACCTTTTCTGTGCCTGTATTTATATTGCAAATGCTTTTGTATATATCTTGTACACTATTCTTTTGAGAGCGCCTCACAGGTTCATGTTTAGCTTTTAAGTTAACTGGTTTAAAAATAACTAATTTCCTTATGTTTATCAAAATTCTTTATCAGAATGATTAAAGAACTTAAGAAAGGTATACCTTTCAAAACATTACTTACCATAAATGTTACAGAAAAAGTCTTTAAATATATTTAAATTAAAGCAGAACGTTTTAATTACATTAAAATTAAAATACTGTTGAGGATCTGATCTACCACAGGCTGAGTTCTTCCTTCATGATGCCTACCTCATCTGTTGGTATTTTTGGACATGCAAATTAGCCCAATTTTTTCCCTCTGTGCTTTCAGACCACCAATAAAAGATCCCTCAGAACTCCTTCCACAGCACCAGCCAAAATTATTTTCCAGCTTATAGGTCACTTGCCTTATAGCTAGTGTTTGTTGAAATGATGCTGGTACTGCCCTTGTGTACAATATGTATTTTCTTGACACAATGTTATATTCATCATCAATAAGAATAACCAACCTAATTTTGACATCAGACATTAGAATGGAACAGAGCCTGCCATCATAGAACATCATTGTGGTTATGTACCAGTGTGCTTGGCCACGGTATCTTTTTGAGCTGCAGTTTCAAATTCATTTTAAATGGAAGCTCAGTGGGTGTCTGCACACAAGTGCAGAGGCTGCTCCTATGCTGTCATTGCAGTGCACTGGAGCAGACTCAATTAATAGATTAATGGAGTCTGCTGGAGCATGGCAATTACCGTCCTCCAGCAGCCTTCCACATGTCATGTATTAGCATCCCTGCACTTCAAAATGGCAGCAGGGACACTTGAATTAAACCTCATTCAATGAGCTATAGTTCAAGCACCCCTGCCACCATTTTGAAGGGCAGGAATATTGATATGTGAGAAACTGTGGTGCTTTAATTAAAGCAGCTGTTGGAGGCATGCTAATTAAGGTATGTCCTCGTCCCCCCCCCCCGTCACGGAGCATGTGAGGAAGTGCTCAGTATGTGCCTGCGTCAAGTTTTTTAATGGTTCTTCAGTACCTTGGAAGAGAATTGTATATTATCATTAGAAAAATATATTTTCCTATAATAGAAGCATACGTTGTAATATTTTCTTTCAGGCACTTCCTGGGGTTCAAGAACCTAAAACACTTACCAGCAATATTTATGCTAAGTTCCATATTTTGGATGTCCATGACCTGGTTTGTCTGGTTCCTGCCTGATATCCTTTATGCAAAGTGAAGTAGAATGATTTCCTGTGAAATGTCAAATGAAACAGGTGAGAAGCAAGGATATTTTTGGTGGGATGATATTTTATTGGACCACCTGCATGATCAAGAGAGATTTTAGACTAGCTTTTATGCACAAAGTACTCTTCTTTGGGTGACCTTTTCTTAGGAATACACTATGCTCTGAGGAGGTGACCTAAAGAAGAGTACTTTGTGCTCAAAAGCTTATCTAAAATCTCTCTCAACCTTGCAGTTGGCCCTGTAAAAGATATCACCCCGCTAGGATCTGGAACCAACTTCCAAGCGAAGTGGTGCTGGCTCCTACCCTGGGGGTCTTTAAGACAAGGTTAGACAATCACCTTGCTGGGGTCATTTGACCCCAGTACTCTTTCCTGCCATGGCAGGGGGTCGGACTTGTTGATGTGCTCAGGTCCCCTCCGACCCTAGAAACTATGAAACTGAAAATATCCTTGCCCCTCACATGTTGCCTGGACCATTAGAGCTACAACTTCACTCCAGCACTAGCACAAGTGAAATAAGCATAACGTTTTTGAAGGACTGTGCCTAGGAGTTATCCCTGGGAAATTCATGGGATGGATAATAAGCAAATGTCAGCAGGATCAGTGCTTAACCTTTCCTATTCTGGTCATGTTGAGCAGTGGCAGGCACAGGTTTAAGCAGTTCATTGTTTCAGGGCCCAAACAAAAATATAGTACATTCAAAAACGTGTCCAAGTCTATCCCAGTCATGCCATTGGTCAAATAAATTCTTGACTCTAAAAATAAAAATGTGTAATGCTTCCTGCTCCTGAAATGAGGTTAATTCAACAAATAACATGCTGTGGTTGTAGCTTTTTAAAAACCAGGCAGGTTTCCTGTCTTCATGTATGTTTAGGGTTGAAGTGCATGTCCTGTGTTGTACACTAACTACAGACTTCTCCTTAATGAGACTTAAATGCTTTGAGAAGGCAGTGGATTGATCGACGTGTATAAACTGATATACAAATGTTGCACTCATTTGCCCGTCTGCTGCTTTGTTGCTACAGAGTGCTTTACTTTTTCATTTTATAAACGGATCCTTCAAAAAAGGTGTTAGGGAGATAATTGTAATTGAAAATAATTTTTGTATTAAATCAGCATTGAAGGTATTCCTACACTAAGTAGCATTTCATTTTCAATTACTTCATCCCTTAAGTGGCATTTTCTTTTGTACTGTTTCTAATGAGATCTCCTTAATACAGTTATCAGGATTAATTTCTGTGAATTGCCTGGAGATATTCCAGTTGGAAGTTCATGCATATATTTGTTTCAATCATAAGTAAATTATTTGTTATTGCAATGTGTAAATGTGGAGTTTAGGGTTTTGGTTTCATTTAAAAAATATATCTTTCAGTAGCTTATAAAATATTACTGAGCTCCTTTTTTGTTTCCAGACTGAAAAAAATTAAGACCTTGAACTGGGCAGTTTTTTCCATGTTTTAGAAACTTTGAACAAAATGAACTCCAGAAGCCCCAAGTATTCCTTGAAACAATATGAGCAAGTAGGTCATTACCTTTTTTTTTCCCCCCCCATTTCACTATGTTTGCACATATTTCCTTTCTGTAACTGCCCCTAGACTTTGTCCACAAACTTTGTCCATAGATTTGCTCCCTGAGATCTTCAAAACAGCAGAGTCGCATGCACAGTATTACCAGTATTCATAGAGAAAGGTACCATCATACTGGTTTATAATAAAAATAAAGGTTGCTGCGATTTCAGCATAACTTACACTTGGTTTGAGATACGGATAAGATAACATTTGGAATACACAGAACTGATATTTGGTCATTTGATTTTAGTTATAGATTATGTCAGTTATTTGCAATTTACAAAAAAAAGGCATTTGAAGTACAAGTATTAAATGATTCTGAAATACTGAAAGATTCCAGTCCTAACTTAGTTGGTTTTCAGATGCTGCTTTTTTTGTTTCTTGTTTTTTTTCAAACTGTTAACAAATGCTTACAATACCAGAGTGTAAAAAGTTTGTACTAATTGTGTAAGTATTATTCTGATAGATGTCAGGCTTTATATACAAGAAAATAGTGCAGTGAATACCTGTATGTAAGCAATACTGTACCTTCACCCTGTATACCTGTCTATATATGTTGTATAATCTTATATTTACCTGATAATATTACTATTATTTTAGTCAGCCACTGGGGAGAAAAACATACCAAATTATACTAGAGGTTTATATTGTCCAGGATCAGAACTGGAAATTGAGAGCTTTGATCCTTAAGTAAACATATGCCTACTGATGATAAAAAGATACATATCTAGAACTGTATTGGGCACAATAGCTAAGTGACATGCTGTGGAATACAAAGAATACACTACTACTAAGAATAAAATCCATCAGTTTTTCATTCAGTATCATAATTTGTAAAACTACAGTTAAGTAATGCAAGTTTAAAGTTATATTAATATTTTTTTGTAATACTTGATACAAAAAGTATATTCCTTAACTTGAATTCTACATTTAATAGACACAGTTTTTCAGTGGTTTTTTGTCCTCAGCATATTTGGTTTTCTCTATTACTTCTACAAAACTTGGAAAACTGATCCTGGATTCATAAAGGCTTCAGAAGAAGAAAGAAAAAAGGTATTTTTACCTTCATAAAAATGCTACATAATACAATGCATTTTTGCTCATTTATCGTTTCTATTTGTTTTTGTTCAAAAACAGTCAACAGTGATATGTTTTTACTCTAACTGTTTATAATCATTTTAACTTTTAGTACCTGAAATTGCAACTCATGCTTGTCCACTTTTCATACACTGTAAAGTTTCAGTTGTTGTTGCTTTTTAAACATTCCTCCCTATTTTCTTCTCATGTATGTTGTCTGTCTAAAAGTTGAGAGAGCCAAATTGTATACAAGCCTGCCTACTGTAAAATATCATTGAACTTGTCTGCAGTAAAAATTAGCATAGAATTTGGTCCACCAGCCATGATTCATTGTGTCATGTGGCATTGTTTGTAATTTTGTTATGCATGTTTATGTATCTACTCATAATGCTTGGGTGACTTGAGGTTCTGGTTATCATGCAGTATTGTGATTTCCTATTGTATGTTTTGGAAAACTGTGAAAAGTATAAGGGCAGCCTTACCAAATTGTATTTAGAGCAGGAGGTCCACCGGTTAACAGGGAACTTCCAACTTTTCACTTAATGATCACTCATGTTAATTGCATGGGCTGCCATATAAATTATTATCTGTCCAGAAGTACCACTGATCATGTGAGCGGTACTTTATGGAAAATGAGACCTGGCTTCAGTATACTCCATGCTGTATGATAGGAACTATTTGTATGATTTTGAACTATGTTATATGATTTGAATTATTGTGGACATGTCACTCCACACTCCCCTCTCCCCCTTCCCTCCCCTAC